TTTCGAATCATCTTTTCCCGAAATAATGTAGATTTCTTTTTTCAGATGTAGATCTGGCTCTTTCAAAATGGGTAATACTTTTTGTTGGTGAAGCACTGATGCTTTAAGAGTACGCTGAAGAGCTACATAACTGTCGGCACTCCCGCTTAGCTTGATCAGCAGATCGTTTGCTTCAGAGAGTCTCCTCGCCTTCTGCGAGAGGATCGCTTGATCGAGCTCGGTCTTATTATTAACTATCACCAAGATGCTAACACACGGAGAACATTGACGGAAACATTTATACAATCCACATCGCAGTAAAACAAGTCGTCGATATTGTCAACAACGGACACACGTACGGAATGAAAAACATAATAGCATCGCTGACTGATGATACCACAGATCAAATCAGAGCCGCGCGTTGCAAAGCTTGGATAGCTGGGTTCGAGGAGCTGTAGGAGGTACCACTGTTGTGGTCCCCTTACAGTCGCTGGTGGATTGAGTATGCTCGGCTTCGGAACTTATTACACCGTCCATCGCGAATGAAGAGTAAGCGTAAATGACAAAAGGAAAGGAAAAGTTTTTTCCCAGTAAAAGCACTAGGACAATAAGTCGAAAGAATTAACAAACTAGATGCCAACTACCCTTGGGGAAGATTGGGAAGTCGGCTGAGTGAAACGGTAAACAGACGAAATTGGAACATCCAGAAAGGCATAACTATCTATGTATCTTATACAACATGTTATTCACATTAACATAACAGCTGATTTATTATCGTGTTATATATTCTACTATGGTTTTCATCATATCAAGCACTATATAGTATATATTCACTATGAACGATATCACGTGATGATTAATTATCTCATACGAAAAACGATAGAATTTTCTAAAAATATACTCATTTTGTGACACTAATTGTATAGGATAAATAAAGCAAATGTCCGAAAACTAACTTCAGATGTATCATCTTCGACTTCTCTAGTTTCGAATCATCTTTTCCCGAAATAATGTAGATTTCTTTTTTCAGATGTAGATCTGGCTCTGCTTGGTTAGACTAATTTTCTCCAAAAAACAACCAATTATTTTTAAAAACTAATTACATGTTCGTCACTTATTTCTTTCGAAAAACATTAATTTGCGCATAAAACGACGCTTGGATTCTCAAAAACTAAATAATGTCGGTATAAATCACGAAGATAACTCGTCCTGTGGCAGAAAACTAATATGCAGATCGAATCAGCACAATTAATGTATATAACTGTTTGAGCGGCTTCAACAGGCTTGCCCAGAAAGATTCTGTATTTCATATGCGTGAGACTGAAGGTGTGCTTTACTCCACAGAATCGTTAGCGAAAACCAGTAATCAACTGTGATAAATTAAACAAAATTTACACAGTTAACTATTCTCAAATCGTGCTGAGAGCAAGAAAAATGTCTCCACTGTTTGATTTTGTTTATGAAGTTGCTATATCCTTAATTTGTTTTAAACCGTTGTTCAATATAGTAAATAAAATTTATTCGTAAATATCTCAAAAGAAATAAAATAACTAAAACGACAGACAACAATAATTAATGTGAGAAAGAAAAATTAACTACAATAGAAAATCGAAATTAGCATACCAAATAGAAAATTTCAAGACAAAATTTGAGATTATGGTATGATTTATATAAATAGCTGTTACTTATAAAATAATCTGATTTTTTGAACTAGATCCTAATTCTTTATGAGGTAATACAATAGCATTCAATAAAATGACTTCACCAGATACGCTGACGTTATTACCTGAAAGACAAAATCGAATAAGATCATTTAAGATAATTCATGATAAGTCATATGAATAATACAAGATAGCGTAAAATATACCTATGACAGTTATAGATGGCTGCAATTTTCCATCATGGAATAACGAATCTTGTTCAATCTTTGAAAATTGTTTGTTTGGATCAGGATCTATGATACAATCAATACAATACTAAAGATCATAAGTAGCACTTCCACCAAATTCAGATGAACAAAGGCATCGACAAATAATATGAACCTTACGTTAAATTTAATAATATATCTCTTTCAAAATACTCTCACTCTCTTTAGACTATGTATTCCCTTTTTACCAGAAGGAGTGCCTTCAATTCTTGTCCAAGGTCCAATTGTAGAATTCCATCCAATAATGCTGTACAGCACACAACAATGATCCTACAAATACCACGAAGAATATAAAAGATAGAAAAATAAAAGTAACGCTATACAGTACCTGTAACACACAACTTCCGAGAATAATTGATTCTCGAATACGCACGCCTGATCCAATCGAAGCATCCTGACCAATTGAAACGTTTGGACCGAGCTGTAAGACAAATATCATAACGATAATTTAAAAATAATTCAAATGCTAATTAAAAAGTCTTACTACAGCCGATGGTGAGACACACGCTGTTGGATGTATAAATACATCTCCAAGGATTGTTGGTGTGTGTTTTTTATCATCAGAATTTACTGTTAATCGCTCAGGATAATACATACGATACATTTCCAAATAATGACGATTTGCATAGATAACAGAACTAAAATAGGGGTGAAAATGAATAATTGGTTTTTACTGTTTAATAGCTATATACCCAGCTGATTTAATTGCACTCCAAAATCTATCACCCATTGGGTAAACAAACAATCGTCCGGTTCCAGCTAATTTCGAAATAACATCTTTTTCTATATGGATACATTCACGACTATATTGAGTGTCACTCACAAACAACGATGATTGTAATGAACTTTCTTCACTAAATTAATTAAAAATAAGTTATTGAACAAAAATTAAAATCGAGTTAACAACTAAGCAAGCAAGGAAAGACTAGACAGGATTCACGAATGACAAACTCCATTCGTCTTTGATAGAAGAGCAATCTTCTCTCAACGACATTTTTCAAGCATGCACGGATTTGAAACGTGCAAGACTACATCAATAATCTTTCCTACTTAAAGTTAGCCATTGTTTCGCTAAAATAGATAAGAGACTTTCAGATATAAGAAGCAAAACATCACAGCTTTTACAACATAGAAAAGGACAATTTTCAAAAAATTCTGCAAATACAGCATGTTTTAGTAAAATTACGAAGTAGAAACATCAGTTTTCTATGGAGGAAGACGATGCAAAGAGAACAAACATAAACAATTGTTGAAATTATTATTCATACTTATAGATTTGTTCATTTTGTTTATATGTGTCGGATAATATTTGAAAAATGCTTTTTGAAAATAGAAAAACACCGCAACTGATTGTTGTAGAAACAAATGTTTCCGGTTTTTCAACATAATGTTTAACTTCATTTGTTTTTCTATCCCAAGCTATACATCCATAATTACATGATTGTTTTTCTGTTGCCTAAAATAGTGATGCTAATCAAATATCAATATTTTCTTACAAAGTTACTATTACCTCTGTTCCTAGTATCGTAAAACCTGTTCCCTCTGCATGCTGCTTATGAAACTCGAGCATTTCAGCCAACGGTAAGTCGCCACAGATATCACCTGTAAAGAGAGAAGTGAATAACGGTTATATCTGAGCAGTATTGCATAGTATCATATGTTATAGAAACCTACCATTTATTACAAAAAATGATTCTGATATATTTGATTTGATTAAATCTCGAAAATGATAGATACCCCCTGCTGTTCCCAAAGATGTGTATTCTTGCAAATATCTAAATCGAACGGAAATAATTCGATCAAGTATAATTGTATTAGATCAAGCCTTTATTTCTTACCGTATCGAGATATTAAACGATTGTTGAGCATTCGCTATGAAACGCGACAATGCCTCATTCGGTTGATAACACCCAATTAATAAAATTTCTCGAACTTCACTGAGCTAAATGTTAACAATACTCAAGTATCGCTCCATCATTTTATTTTCATATAAAGGTTTACTTTTGCGCATGACTCAATTAAATGATGAATAATCGGATAACCAGCCACAGGAAAGAGCGGTTTTGGCATTTCCAGTGACAATGGACGAAAGCGCGTACCTAAACGATAGCAAATAGAACCGATCAGATTAATATGCAACTGACAAAATCTTTCCTTTACCTTTCTGTGGACCACCGATTAGAATAACAGCTTTCAACATCTTCCAATGACTATAACGAGATTAATTTCTAATATATGAGAGCAAATGTCACAATAACTAGCCGAAATGATGTCTTCATCCGTGCATACTTCAAAAAAAAGTTATATGATAAATAAATAGATTTTTATTCGTCAACTATGGCTGCATTTGTCAAATTTTGTTTATTTCAACTATTGAGTGTAACCCTATTAAAGATGTTATTGGTATTGACTGGAAAGTTACGCAGTGATTTTAACAAAAGCATATCTTTTTCAACTCATCTAAACTCTTCTCTACACTATGAATGTACTCAACCTGTAATAAATATTGCTGTTTCCTCCCATGTCGTCAAAATCGGGAAAGAAATGGCGGATTAAGTGCAATTAATCAGCCGATTATTCGTACACTGAATCGCGATTTTTAAGCAGATTGCTCATTCATCGCGATTTTAAGAAAAAATCATCGATAAATTTCGATTATCCGCGAGTTTTTCTCAAATCGTGATTAAGCGTACGAGTAATCGGTTGATTAATTGCGCGTAATCAACTATTTCTTCCTGATTTCGACGGCATGGACTTTCTTAAAGAAATCAATGCACATTTCAAAAATACGTTCATGATGCAGGTAAAGGACTGCATGTCTTTTTGTCTCTTAATTCTACGAATTACTTATTTTAGCTGATGTATTAGATCGCTCCGATCCACAGGAATACAAGAAAGTTTATTTTTAGTTAATTATAAACAATACCGGTGTTTCCTTTTAGCTCCAAATAGTAGCTTCAAGAAGAGACTGTCTACATCAATTCACACTGATCATACTTCTTGGAACTACTATTTGGAGCTAAAGGAAAATAACGAAATAATAATGAGGTCTCTTGTATTGTTTTGTTTTATTTCTAAACTTCAGTTCATATCTGAAACGATCAATGGCCAATCGAGCACTCAATCATTTTGAAAAAGGAAGATGTCGTTAAAGAACGCTTAAACGTATCACTACAGCTCTGACAAAGACAGGCGAAATTGAAGTGGAGGAAAATATTCACGAGATAACTCCTGTAAACTTATGTATGAATAATCTACTCTAAGATGCAAGACCTTTTACAACGATACAAAGAGAGCACGTAAAACATATCATCCAGATAAATAGTGTGAAAACCTGTTGGTTATAGTTCTCTGCTTAAGTTTTGCGTCCAGCTAGGGATGAGCAAACGGTAAAAATGTGTTTTACCGCTACCGATGCTTCGGTAATAACTTCAGATTTTTACCGCCTTAATTTCAAATCGGTAAAAACTCACTACTATATATCTCACGTTGTTTTCTCATAGAAGATGTAGAGTTTTGTTCTTCCTCGTCTATATAAGTCATCGAAACTTGCGTTTAGGAAGTGAAACTGATTCTACCCATGTCTCGTTTTTTTAAGAAAACTGGCGATGTATATGGCGGTATTCTTAAATACCATCGGTTTAGGAATATCGCCATATACTGCCAGTTTTCTTAAAAAAGAAAACGAGACATGCCTTAGTCGACACTTCCAACAAAACTTCCAGGGGACTCCTGTCACAGAGTCCTGCGGAAACTCAGGTATGACTCTCAAAGGACTCCTGAGGACTTTCGTTGGACTCCCGCGAGACTCGAAATTCGTCAAAGCCCCACAGGAGTCCCGAGCGAGTTCTCAGAAGTCCCATTTGGCTCCCGCAGGAATTCCGTGGGAGTTTTGTCGAGAGTCTCAACTAGGGTGGGTAAGTATGGTGCTAGTTAGGGTATCAATCATACTAAGGGAACCGAAAATATTCAAAAATATGAAAAGTTATTTATTTCATGGGAGTGATCAGAAAGAAATTAGTTATGCTCAAACTAATTAGTTATGGTGAATTGGATCCTTTGCGATAAACAGCCAATAATTACGCAAAAATGACCATTAAACAGTCACTATTAAATCCTTGTTTCCAGCCTATTTCGGGTAATAGTAAAACATGAAGACACCCACAGACAGCACACAGACACCCACAGACAGCCACAAACAGCAACAGACAGCTGCACAGACAGCACACATACAACCACAGACAGCCACAGANTATGGATGTCCGTGTTTGGATGTCTGTGGCTGTCTGTGGTTGTATGTGTGCTGTCTGTGCAGCTGTCTGTGGCTGTTTGTGGCTGTCTGTGGGTGTCTGTGTGCTGTCTGTGGGTGTCTGTGGGTGTCTGTGGGTGTCTGCGGGTGTCTGTGGGTGTCTTCATGTTTTACTATTACCCGCCTATTTCTTGGCCGTAAAAAAAATGCTACTTTTAGGCATTAATACGTTCCCAGTTATAATACTGAAAAATGGTTAAAAAACGCTGTTAACAAGCTAAAAATTGTTATTTAGATTCGTAGCTGTTATCAGAAGATGAGGCAATGAGCATTTGAATCATAAAGGTTGAAATCGTAAGCGTAACTGTTTGCATTAGCTGTTAATACTCTAAAAAGAGCCAGCAATTTGATCAGTCATAGATCGCTTTAATCGAGAAGAAAGATTATTGTGCTGTTTTACGTTTACTGTCATTCTAATTCACTGATTCTCCGCACAATACAGTTCTCGTCCACCTACTCTCTAAAAAATATTCGTATCCTGCAGAACCAAAAAAGAGTATTTCCATGCCGGGATACTCTTTTTGAAATCTCTGAGTGTAAAATGCAGATGTCCTCTTTTTTTTGATGCTGTGGAATTAGAAATACTCTTAATCATATTTTACAATGCCATTCTGGTATTTCAGTGTACCTTTTTGGTTTTGTAAGATTTCTCTGAGAGTATTTCTAATTTCACAGTATCAGAAAAAAAGAGGATATCTGCAGTTGTCACTCAGCTATTCCAAAAGAGTATCCCGGCATGGAATTACCCTTTTTTTTGGTTCTGTAGGATATGAAAATTTTTTTAAGAGTAGTTAACCATTTTTTTATAATGATAATTCATATTACTCTTTGAATAGATTAAAAAATTTTATAAAATATCCTCAACTCAGGCTATTAGTTGGCATCATTGTATCCATATGAGGGTCATCTTACTATTTGATTTTCAAATATGGAAATTTCTTTTCAAAAATAGACAATCATTGATACAGAGAAAAGATGGACAGAATCTAAAATTGTATAAGTACGTATATTAGTAATTCAAGACATTCTCTCACTCTCTGCGTGTATTGGAAGATGAAGTTAATCATTTGAGTAAGATGATCAGTTTCAAAAACTAATAACTATTTTATGATGATCACACGCACATTTGTTGAATAAAAAAATACATACGATGCCGCAATATATATATATATATATATATACGAATGAAGAAAATAGATTTTCAGTCTCCTTTAAAATTATATAATTTCGTCATCATTATGTAATTAGAAGAAAAGATACGTGAAAAATGAGATTGTGATTATTGGATTTCTTTGTTGTCGAAAATAAGAGATAAATGACCTATTTATTAGATGAAGCAATCAAGCAGATATATTCAAGTTGGAAGTATAAATATACGAAAAATTTTTGTTAAAATAGAAATAACGTTTTATTGGATCAATTCTAATGTTGTCGAGTAGCGCGCATTACCCCAAAAAAGATAATTTCGGACAACTCATATGGTATCAACATACTTAATGATTTTGCAGAAGTCATGTTTACTTGGTACTCTGTCAGAATTTTACCGATTAAAGAGTTTCAATCTGTTTCTCTTAAAAACATCTATTTTTGTGTGAGATCATTCATCCATTTAGAGTTTTTTAATTTGTTTTTGTACCTGTTATAGATTAAATTAATCAACAGACAAAGTTATCCTGTTGTCTGTCTATACAATATATCACCTAAATTTTTTCAATTGAATTTTTTCTAATAAACGTTCTCATATCAACACTGCGTCGTGTATTTTTCCTGCTGAGTTAATACCTGATTCAATAAAAAAAATAACGAGCGAAAGAGAAAATAGAAATACAGTTATATTTGAACTATGTTCATTGTGATGAATAAATTGTCACTACTTCATTCCACTCAGGTGCCGAGGATTAAACGTAAAATATTGAAGTATGTGTTGTGCGTCTGCTTGATTTTTAAACGCATCATTTCCGATTAGATAAATGAAGAGAGAAGAGAACGATAATAGATAAATGTGAACACTTTTGATGCTTTTTGATATTCCATAGGGGATATAGTGATGACTGCCATTTATGTACCAATTAAACACCTTTTCTTAGATCTATAAAACGCATAAACATAAATCAGTACGATATACCTTTAGTACATCCTCAAGAAGCAAAAATATAAAAAATTTAGCTGTGAAAAACCCTTTAACGATTCTCTATCTGCTATAAGTACAATAATTAAGTTATAATAGAAACCTGTATACTCAATCCTACTACATAATCTCATGTTTAACTGTTGGTATTGACAAATTTAATACCAGACTCATTAAGTTCAATTGCACTGAGATTAATTAACGTACTTTATGGACTTTTCACTCATTCAGACTTGTTCTTCAAGAAATTTATCAGTCTTGAAATTAATTCGGAGATTTTTATTCGTAAAAAGACAATAGAATTGACATTCATTAACCAATCTCAACTTTCTTTGATTCCATTTAATACAAATAAATCGTCTTATATCACAACAAAACACATGTATATGTAGAGAGATTGAGTTGAGCACCGTTCTCCTCTTCAATATTTCTATGATGAACAACTACCGCTTTGATTCTTCGTTCCGTTCCGCAGATGATGATCCAGTCGCGACTCGTGTTTATTTTATTTCTTTTTTTTTTATGCAGTTCTTTATCTTCTCTTTCTTTCTCGTTCACATATGTATCTATGTCATATGTACTGGTTAAAGTCAACAGCCAATAATCTATACATAAAAAAAAATCCGCGTTCATATAGATCCGATTTATTTTTTTATTTTGTCGTTCTCTTCTTCTACTTTCGTTCATTTCATATAGAAGTTCTATTATAGTATACTACTAAATACAACAACTACTACTACTACCTATTCTTCTCCTTCTAACAGACCGTAAACCTATTTATTCATTTTATAATAATATTAAATCAAGAGTGTGTGTGTATGCACGATGTTGTTTCTACAACTATTAATTATATAGTTTACATCAATTATTCAACGATATACGAGCTTGGCAACAATGTATTTTCTATTATTCATCTATTTAATTATTCATTGTTGTTCGTATTGCATTCTTAATGGCCAAGGTAATGTAATTTAACTTATGTATGATTCTCATAAGTGGATTTATTTCTCTGAGCTAATCATTAGATGTTTAATCATTATGCTACATTCTACATATTGACACAATTACATTTATTATTGATGTAGAATATTCCAAAATGCTGTATCTGTTCATAATGTGTAGGATACACACATAACTAAGGTCAAGAGCACAGTGATTGAATTAAAAAGTTAAAAATAAATCTCAAATGACAAAAATGAATCATATAAAAACTTAAAAAACGATTGGTCAAAGGCAGCATATGTTGAACAAAATAGATCTGTTTTTACATTTATTTGAAAAACTAAAGATGGATACTGATATTTTGCTCCATTAGTTTGTTACTAGAAACAACAAGATTTTTGATGATTCAATATATTTTACAGATCAAACAAAAGAATATCCACACATCTGAATTATTCTTGTTTGTTTGTTAGATTCGCTTCAAGTTGTATCTGTAACGCGTATGAGTTATGCTCAGATTCTTTCAATCTTACGATAGAATTGACGTTTAATTGTTAGTTTTGATCTCAAACAGTGACGCATTTTCTTAGGCGATTGTCGATATATTTTTAAACTAACAGACTTTGTCTATAGTGGCATTCGTCGAAAGTTAAAGTGTTTTTTAATTCGTGATAACGGGTATATTGTATACGCCTTCAAGTTCTAAAAACGATAAACTTGAAAACAAGCATCAAACTCTTATAATTCACATAAGCTTACTTTGGTAATTCATGAATATAAATAATATGGTGCATGTGAATACGTCTAAATCGATTATAAAGTATCAGTTTTAGAAAGTCAGTTACCACATTATTTAAATCATATTTGTTACTTGATTTTTATCTTGATTAATGAAAAGATGATATTGATCAGTATATACACACACACACACACACATATATATATAAGTATTTTTATAAATCTTTTAAAAAGAGCTTTAGTTCATGTGTTGACCACATTTTATCACCTTTCATGTTATATGTGTGCAACGGGATCAGTAATTCATTTTTCGCGGAATTTAAACATGTATGTGACGCATAATAGATTAGCACATAGACGAGAGAGAGAGAGAGGAAATAAATGTTATTGATACCGGCGACATCCTTTAGTCAAATAAGTTAAACAATAGAAAAAAAAGAGTAATTATGAAAACTGATTCATTTTTAAGCAGTTTAGTGACGGAAATAAGATGCGCGACACATTTAGATTAAATTAACCTCCATACAACGGATATTTCCCCACCAAAAAAACGTGTGAGTTCCTGCTGTAATAATATCTAATATTATGATTAGAAAATTGGTTATTGTGTCTGAAGTGGTAATCATGTGTACAAACGTATCATGACGAAGAGAGAGAAAAACAATGTCAAATTGGTACTATGTTTATATACATACGTATGTATATCTGCTTGAGACGGGATGTACTTGATTGCTCGTTTTTTTTTGCCTAAATCATGAGAAAATCGACTACACATAAACTTGTTCATCTTTAAAGATAAATTCTAAAATTTTAGAAATTAATATGATTATAATACAATGTTTAAATAGATGATTAACGAGTTTTCTCATTTATAATTTTATATATTTTTTTTTTCAAAATAATATACACACTAATTTCAATAAATCATGTTTTAATCAAAATTTATTAGTATTTAAATGATAGATAGTGATCTAAACATATATGTCGTGGTATAGTTGGTAATCAAGATTTAAAACTATTTATTTTATTCTCTCTGTTTTGAAAACTGATTTATTTTCATTGAAAGAGAGAAACGCTGTTTTTCTTGAACACTGACGTATTGACACAAGCTAGGAATAACTTGTTGTCTCATGAGACAAATATCAAAATAATGTGAAGAACTGATGCTTGTCTTCATCTATCATTCTGACGACTTTGTCTTATCTGTTCAACATTTTATTTTTTTGTCTGTCTGCATTTTTATTCTTAATTTTGTTACTGATGTGTTCATGCTGATAACGTATATTTTTCAAATTTTATCTTAAAAAAATTTTTTTGTTGAATGCTGAATTGAATTCTGTTGTTATACTCATTCATCATCATCGTCATTCGATGATTATTTGTATAACAGATTCTACTAGTAACATTCCAGAATATAATGAACGTAGAAATATGTTTAGTGTTTCTTTGTATTATTTTCAAATAATTATTGTCATGTAATTATATTTACCCGTGTATAGACAGTAATAATAATTATTTTTCTTTTTAAAAGAATATGGCGTGCTCTTTTCATACGTAACTGATTATATGTAATAGTCTTGAAAATGATTGTATGCACGTTCTTTTGTAACATATTCTACTTTAGATGTGTCAAAATCTCCAAAATTTGATCGTTCATCAGAAATTGTTTCGGTTGTTGTTGGCAAACGTATAATATTACCATGTTATGTACAAGACGCTAGTCAATTTAAGGTATGTACTACTAGTAGACATGACATGACAAGAAATTAGCAGAAAATCATTCGTCTTTCGTTAGACACACGTTTAGACATAAAGAGAAGTTCCTTAGAATTTACTTCTAGGTAATATGGATGAAAATGAATAATAGTTCGATATTAACAATGGATGATCGTGCTGTTAATGGTGATTCACGAGTAACGTTGTTACATGCTTATGCTGATGAATGGAATTTACAAATCGATGATGTTGATGAAGATGATGCCGGCGTCTATCGGTGTGTACTAAATAATGGAATGTATAAAACGTTAACACTTCAAGTCAAAAGTGAGTATTAAGCTATTCTATATAGATCTTCAGATATTTGAGTTTTTCTCATTAATCTTTCAGCTCCACCACAAATTATTGATGAACAATCTACCGAATCTTATCCAGCACCAATTCTATCTGGATCTAATTTCACATTAAAATGTTATGGAAGCGGTCGTCCATCACCAAAAATACGTATACTATCATTTGATCAAGCTGAAAATACCAAAAGTTAGTAAATTCTTATTCGATTTGTGTAACAGTTAGAAATAAAAACAAAAATATCGCACAATTAAAGTTATATAGATGAATTGAGAAAACAATACAGACAAGCGTAAAATGTTTATTCAAGGTTATTGAGATGATAACAATATCATTCGATCCTTCTCTCTTTCTTTCTTTGTTTAATCTTATATTCCACACAGCACAATAAGATTTCCGTTTCCTATATCAACTTCAATAGTACATTATTCACACGTCTTTCATATAATTAAACGCTATGACACTCTTTTCTTTTCTTGTCTCTTTATATGTTTTTAAGACTAATATTCTAAATCGCGTTCACATAATCGGAAGTAATAGTTCATTGTCGTTAATAGTCAATTAAAAAGAGAGATATTTACGTAATCGTTTGAAAACAAATAGGATCACTATGTTGAGTATTGAAACAAATAGTTGAAAAAACAACAATTTGACTGAAAAAACTATAGTTCATTCATGTTCTATTCATTATCGTTTGTCAGACATTCAATCTGTTTTTAATGGTTTCTTCTTTTTTTTACGTCTGTACTTTCTTATTCGTTATTGAGCTTCAGTAAGTATACAATAGACAATGCTAATTGTGATAGCTAATGATTTATCTAAATAAATTCTGTAAATATGCAGTTTTTAATATATTTCGTCATATTTCATGCTCGATTAAACCTATCACTTGAAAATTTATCCACAGGACATGTTTGTAAAACGCCCAGTTATGGAACGTCAAGGCAAGACACTTGTAACATATGTAAAAATATTCTTGATTACGTCTATGATCACATCAATATTGTTCTGATCGGTTTCATGCTGTGATTATTCTACTCAACATCGATATTAAAATAACAATTTAATTTTAATTGTTGTTTTAATGAATAATCGAGTGTTTGTACAAATACTCTCGACTTTCAAAAGAAAATGAAATCGTTTATACATATTGTTCTGTAAAAAAAAAAGGCTTAATGCAAAAAGGTTTATGGTTCAATTCGCTTGCTGTAGAGTTTAACTATAATTGTGATCTAATTGTTCATGGATTTTAGTTCAGTTTTTAACGTCTATTTACTCCTGGTAGTTTGAGAGTAGGCTTAATTCATTTTTCATTTAGTTATTGGGGAGCATAATGAAGTCATTTTATATAATGTATCTCGACATACGCGAAAACGTTATGAGTGTATTGCGAGCAATGGTGTTCCACCTGATGTTGCCCGATCATTTCAATTGACTGTACAATATCCACCAGAAATAACCCTATTACTATCAACACATGATAATACTATTTATAATAATAGGAATCAATTGCTTGTGGATTTGGCACAAGAATTACGTATTAAATGTCAAATAACAATGTATCCATTTGGTAAAATATTTTGGACAAAAAATGATATTCGTATCGACAAATATCAAGATAATTATGAACAATACGCTTCATCTTATTCAGATAACCATGTTGTTGCTGAATTGTATATTAAACAAGTTAATTATAAAGATTTTTGTTCATTTTCTTGTTTTGCCATTAATGATCTTGGTATCAATTCAAAAACAGTACACTTAGTAGAAAAACCAACATCCACAACATCTACTACAACTGTATTAACAACTACAATATCGATGACATCGACATCATCAAATTTAGGCAGTGAACGGTTGTTATATAGTCGTGGATCATATATCAATATGAATAAACAACGTCAACGAAAATGGCCAAAGTATTCTACTCTTACGAATTCAACATCTTTGAATATTATTCATCAACGAGAAGCAGAAAATCTACGAGTTAGCATTTCATCAAAAGGTAAGCAATATTGAAGACAATTAGTGATTTCGATCAAACATTTTCATCATCAATAAAGAAATTTTTTTTTTATAACAGAGGGCACTTCATCGTTCTAATATTTATACACAGATACAAATTGATGATGATGACGATGATGATGATTTATGTATGTATCGATCTTAAATAGGTTCAATCTAAATAAACCGTATTATGTTCAATAGTTAAAGAAAAAGAAAGAAAAAGTCGACATTTCTCAAGGTTTCATCTCGTTTAGTATGACATACTATTAAATTTTTTTTTTTCAAAAATCTAATATCTACTCAATTACATGGCCTTCATCATCATTATCATGAAAAAACATGACCTTTTTTTCTTCATTTCGTCCCGACGAATATACATATCAATACATAAAATTAAGACTTTTTATAGATATTTAAAGTGATTAAATTTAGAACCGTTTACGATGTTTATACTAAAGAGAGAGGCGAAAAAAAAATCGTTTATAGAAGATCAAACAAAAGTTAACGAGCCACTTTATTATCTTATGAATATTTTCACAGTTAGAAAGAATGATCGTATCCGAAGACACTTTTGTCACAGTATTTTTGTTACTGTGAGATCATGCTTTAGGCTTAGTGAGGTTAATATTATGGCTATATTCTATATTTATATACTTAGAGATGGCAGAAGTCCTTAAAAGATTGATTAATGATGCATATTTTATATTCTAGCCGCAACAATATTAAACAACAACAACTGTTTCATATACAATATTCTCATTATTCTAATAAAGATCATTATGAGCGTACAAAGGTGATGTTCATAATGATCTTTCTCTTATTTACGTGTTATATTAGATATTAACAATACTGTGATAATGGCTCAGGTATTGGAAAAGAAAATATGTTTTTATCTATTTTTTTCAGACAAGCTACGTTTTGCTCAAAGATCTAATTATGTTTTTTATTTTTTAGTACTCCAGTGACCAAAACTTAATTCACTATGTGGCTTGATTGAACATCGCATTTCTTATAGACATTTAGTGTATATCGAACCGGTTGTTTTAAATCTCGTAGTGTGAGGTCACAAGTACCACAAACTATGTACATATGTTTGTTGACATTTGTTCATTTGTTTTTAAAATCTCATTTTTCTTTGTTTGTTTTTATAGTAATTGAGAATCGCAGCGATAGAACGATTATATTTTCAGAAAAAAATAAAATTAAAATTGAAATTTAACTGCTAATTGCACACCAATACTGTATGAATGATACCAAAAGCACAAAAAAAACTATAATGAACCATCTTGTTCTTCTTTTAGCGTTTGTTGAACTATATTCTCACATTTTTTGTTAAAAAGTAAATTTGTTTTGTAACAGCACAAACCGCAAACATTCCACTCTCTATTGTCTATAGGTCATATTAGAAATTTTTGATCTTGTCCATGTATTTGTTTGTGGGAACGAATCTATTGAATCTAAAGGACAGACAAAAGACTGGCGTAAATATACAACATACGGTTGCTCTTAAACAATTGTTTCAAACATGCGCTGGCCATTTTATTAGGACTGTTGATAAAATGATGTGAATATTTACTACCGGATATTGTATGCAAAGTTTTTTTTTTAACAGTAGAACAACAGAAGAAAACTAATAATGTGAGAGAAATACAGTGCTGAAATGTAATCATTATCGATTAAATTAATCAGATATGTCACAATATCTATCTATATGTAATTGTTTGATTAGTTAAAAATTGAGATTGTTCTCACGTTTTGCTCCAACGTACACTGTTTGAACAATAAACAACTAGGTGTTTTTTTCATGCAGAAACAATGGAACACGCGATATCATCTTTGAAAGACTCCTTAAAAATCACTTTATAATTGTTGACCATATTTCATGCCTGATTAGTAGCAGTATGTCGTTCGTCCAAGGAGAAAAAGATTTCAAAAGATATTACATTTGATTGAAATCTTTCCTTCATCACCATTTTTAATTAATTTTAACTTCTCAGCTCAATTCAATGTGGCATTTTACATCATAATTCGCTTGATTAAAAATGTTTGATAAGAGTGTATATCTACTTTTTCAATTACGCATATATGTCACCACAGTACATACGAACATGGCACTCTTGAAAAAAATGAAAATGTAGATTCTTCTTTGAAGTTCTTTTTTATTTGAGAGAGTGAGCTCAGACATTGCCATTCAAGGCAAAATAATAGTCATTCATATAGATACATTATGCATTTTTCATTAAATTTTACATAAAATAATATTTATTAAACCGTCTCTTAATCTTGAAAACAAAAATTTGATGAAACAAAGAGATGAGAAACATGAACTACGCTAAATCGTATTAATCAGGCATTTGTTAAATACTCAGATATTAAATAATGATAACTACAGATTCAGCTTATTAATAAAACTAGTAATGTGACAATTGCGCGTAATGAGAAAGTACAAGGAATAGCATGAACATTAAATCTGGCTTTATTGTGTGTTATCAGCGAGTAGATTCTTCATCAATCTGTTCTTTATTGTATTTTGTTTTGTTTCAAGGCTTTGACATATGTTCAATGTGAGTGAGTGTGATTACATAAATAAATAATGTAAAAATAAATCATCAAAGCGATTTTCTTCTTCTATTGTTTACATTTACTACCTCTCTATAAGCTTCATAGACAAGTTCTGTATAGTTAATCTAGAATATATTACACGATTCAATCAAGAGAATGTCTTCACACACCATATCTAAACAAATGGGACCGAACGTCAAAGAAATATTGATTATTCAAACTTATATAGGCGCGCATCATTTCAACTGCATCATTATATTTGACTATCGTCTTAAAACATCTACTGTTTGATGACGTTTTTTTCTTCCCATATATATAGTGAACATTATTGATTTCTACGACTCATAGAACACCTACTAACAACGAGAATTATATTTACCTAATTGATGTAATGTAATATATAGTAACAATTTTAAACATATAATAAAAATTAGAATGTCATGAACGGCCATCAAGAATCCATTCAATTTCCGGTGTCATTTTAGATAGAATGACAACGATAGTGGTATAGCTGATTGTGATAGCCAACCAGCTGTTCATTTACTGGTACTTTGAAATATGAACTGAATTAAAGATATTTATGTTGCCGCTCAGTTAAAATAAACGAAAAATATTCTTTGTTTTCGTCAAAAGAAATCAACAATTGTCAAATGATTTATTTTCGTTTCTTTTCTTTCACAATTAGACAACCAAACATTTTATTGTGATTGCGATATTTAATACAATGTTCAGAATGGAAAATAATAATTTGAAAACACTCAGGATCAATTAAAATTCTTGTAATTCATCTTAAAAATTATAATATTATCATTATCAGGAATTTGATAGCGCAGGCAAATAGAAACAAACGGCGAGAGAAAGACTATGTACAGTTTGAATTACAGTGGCGAGCAATGTAAAACAATGTAAATGTTTTTAGGTAGGAATTTGTCTCTAAGTTCATTCGTCAACAACTGGAACAATCATTTGTTTTCAACAAAACGGATAGTAAGAAAAATTACTTGTAGACATTTTCTGTTACCAAAGTAATCGTTTGATTGATATAGTGACACTACCCAGATCAAAGAATCTTATCGTAAGATCTTATAAGATTCTTCTACGATTTCGTAAGATTCTGTAAGAAACATAGAAACTAATTCTTGACATAAAATCTTATGGTGAGATTTCGTAAGATTCTTGTATGATTTTATAAGATGAATTCGTTTCTATGATTTTCCGTAGTAAGATTATATAAGATCTCTTGATCTGATTTTATGACCTGGGTACATTCAAGATTCGTTAAGAAAATAACATCAATTTTACTAGACGAAACTATTAGTTATAAATCGTCATTAATACGTTTAACCAGTGTACAATTTATGAGTGATCTAAGGAAGATATTCACTCGCTTTATAAAACCGGAACAAGAAGCCTAAAAACCATCACGTTATCAACCCAGAAGTTTCGTGGTCCTATGTGAGAGAAGTAAAAAGTCGGATCATCGGTTGAAAAGATCGAGTGAAATATGATACGAGCTCTGGGTTTTTAATTTACTTCTTCTCAGCCACTCTGAGCTCGTTGTTTTTTAGACTAAATGTTTATATGATGAAACAAGTCAAAATCTACTATTGCCACCTTGAATGATTTTTTGTATGTGTCAAAGAAGAATGATATATAAATCACAAAATAGTGCGGATCGCCAAGAAAACCTTATATCCTTCTGTGCTATTGTAATAAGAATGCACTAAAACTGCATCTTATTTTAGTAGAATCTTTCTTACTTTTTCAGAAGTATCCGAGGACTTTGTTGCGAACTGTAGGGTGCCATTTCGAGTGCAAAAACCTTAGTTTACACTAATCACTAGATGCGTTGTAGATTTTAGGTGTGAGCAAATGATCATGATACATCATCACATTTACATACGAGAACACTCTGACTAAGATTTATATCACGTTTAAAAGGTTCCGCAATATGAGCATCATGGAGTTCCCCATATTATCCCCAGGGTCCAAACAAAATTTTGTTTTAAGAAGAGCCTAGGGGCGCCCTGGATAAACAGAAAACGCCGATACTCTTTTCATAGAGAGCATAGAAAATAGAAACGCGGTAAAGATTTTGATAGGTAAACGCGGGTGAAAACGGAGCTGACCAAAAAAATCTTTGCTCCGGTTTTGTAGAGTTTGATGAGTACTACAAATGAGAATAAATGAAAAAGTTCGACTGAAGACTTTTACGTTAGAGGAACCGAAAGTTGACAATTTCTGAAATGGGATCTTTAAAGATGATGCCATGCTCAACGAAAAAGATACGTATTGAATAATTCATTTTCCATTAGATTAGACAGCTCTTCAGCTTCATTTTCATCTATAATAAAGAACTTTTCGTTTTGTTTTTCTTTCAGAAGAGATAAAATATGCAATGCCTTTTTGTCATTATCAGCCATTTGTGACAACTGCCGTGTCCCTGAGAA